CTGTGGTATTATGGTACCTTGCTGTACATAAATTACAGTAATTACCTGAATTTTCACACTTTTACTGTAGAAGTAATGCAACACAGTAGCCAGTAATTTACTGTAAATATAAAAATGTAAATAATACGATAATATATTGTAAATTTGACTAGTTAACTGGGATTTTACCATAACTACCAATTCAATCAGCTCAATCAACAAAGAAAAACAAAGAAAATGCCCATTTTAACTTGTTGGACATGTTGTTTCGGCCCTAACCTCTACTCCGCGGTAGTGGCTCGTGCTGAGACCCGCAACATGAAAGGATACATGCAATAACCGGTACTTGGTAACGAGCATTTATTGATAATCAGCCGTTTGCTCACACAAGCGAAACGGGAAACAAAAAGAGGTCTGGAGGACTGGCCAAAAGGAACAAACAGAAGGAGGGAACCCGAGCCAGCCACACCACGGACCGTAGGACCCAGAGTTTCCCTCCCCTAACCAGAAATCAAATATAAACCCTATGGGAAACAAAATAAAGCCGCGAAAACTGGACCATCAGGTCCTCCAGGCTAAACATAAACACATCTGCAAAAATATGGCCTACAGCTCAAAATGGCAAAGAGGTATTCTGAGGAGAGTGTCTCCCGGCGTTAGGATAGGCGAGACATCCTTTTCCTCCAGCTTCTCTTTATATATACACGGCTGAGTGGAATTTGGAACACCTGGGCAGAGGAGGAGCCAGGGGCAGACCAGGGGCAGACCAGGTGCACCTGGGCAGAGGCGGAGCCAGGGGCAGACCAGGTGCACCTGGGCAGAGGCGGAGCCAGGGGCAGACCAGAGGCCTGTACTACGAAGCCGGATTTTCGCTTAGCCGGCTAACTTCAGGGAAAACTCGGGCTTTCCGGTCCTACGACGCTGGTTCTCTTTTTAGCGGGCTAGATCTCCATGGTAACTTATGCTGAGCGGCTAACCTCCTCGGGAGGAGGTTAGGTTGCAGGCTAAGAGATCAACTCAGTGAAAGCACCGCCTGCTGACCAATCAGAGCTCCGTGTGCGGAGTTTAAAGCTATCAAGTCATATTACAGGATAGAGGAAATACAGAAAAACTGCCGTTGCAGGAAAGACGGCCGGCCAAAATCAACTGACTGTGTGAACGTGAAAATTAATAGAATATCCCCTCCCATCTTCAGAGCAATCTGACTATTATAACATTAGCGTTAAGAAAGCTTAATTAAATATCTGCCACAACATAAGTAACCGGATCAGAGTAACATTAAGTACAGTCCGCGGCACTGTGAGTGCAGACGTCGATGTGTCCCATTATCATTCATATCATATCACATCATAATGTATCATATATTTCCTTATCTGAGTCAGCTTCTTGAGCCGTATCTGGCGTGCAACACTCACAGTGTCACATACTGTATGCAGAAGTATTATTTTAAGCAACACATTAAGTTGACGAAACACTCGAGTCAAATTTAATTAAAGTCAGATCCACTCGTGTCTTAGACGGGGCAGTGATATCATAAACCTGTTAATGTACGCATTCAAACACTTTTTCTTTTACCAGCTGTATTCACCTTGCAGGTGCAGCTATGTGGCTTTTATCCTGGATAAAGTGTTTAAGTCATGGATGTTTAAAGTTTAACTTCTTCATATTTGACTAATATTAAAGTTCACTTTTCATTCAGGAAGTATGACGCTGCGCTGTCAGTACGCTTGTCCGTGTTTGAGATTGGTCGAATGCTCCAAATACCACCCCTTTCATGTGAACGCGCACCTAACTAGATAGGACACGGCTGGCTTGAGCGATCCACTTGATATCCAGCGTCGTAGTACAGCTTAGCGAGAGCGCGTATGTTTTGGATTGGGCCAACCGGCTAACTCAAACATATCCAGGTTAGGTTGAACCAGCTTCGTAGTACAGGCCTCTGGTGCACCTGCAGCAGGGAGACAGAAAGAAAACAAGGAGGGGAGCACGTAACACATGTCTACACAGACATCCACTCAAAGTCAACAAGTTTTCTGAAGAATGTGCTGACATGGGGGTTTAAATTGCCATGCCTCTTTTTGGCTTTCGAGCCCGTCTCAGGATTAATGCCCAGGAAGCACCTGAAAACAATAAGCCAAGACAACACTTTCAATTTTACATAGATGTATATTTTGCATCGTTTATTTTAAGGCACATGCAGCGGTGCCCCTTTCAATTTAAGTAAAACCTGCACCAAAGAAAGAAATTAGTATTTAAAGCCAAGCAAGAGCGATAAAAGCAAGAAAATCACTTAATTTGTTGTGTTATCACAGAGGATGGTCTGGATACAGTAGTTTACTATGAAATAATACAGTAACATGTTGTGAAATCCTGGTAATCATTTATCCTGTACATTCACAGTAATTAACTGTGCCTGCATTGCAGTGGCGAGCCGTCAGGGCCCTCTAGGCCCTCTGTGAGGGCCTAAGATATTCCACAAAAAAATATTTAAAAACATTAAAAAAAAAAATATTTTTTTAAAATATATATTTTTTTAATATTATTTTTGTTATATTTTTCATTAGTTTTACCGAAAAAAAACTTGATTTAATAAAATAACATTTCCAAATAAATAAATCCTTCGAATCTGCCTGTTCAGTCTCTGTTTGAATGTGGGTTACATGAAAGAAGCTCATCTGTATGGGCTCAGAACAGTCTCATAATACACACATGCACACAGAAGGATTCACACTTGTATTTCATGATCCGCAAAAGGATTCACACTTGTATTTCCGGATCCACACTTGTGTTTGTCAATGCACACACAAATGTGTTCCGTTTCATATACATGTAAATAAAATCCAAATACAGAAAAAAGTTTTACATATGTATTTTTGATCCTCACATATTTGTTTTCCGTTTAAAACCGCTGCACCTACAAACACAAACCGCTTTCTGTGCATGGATCGCTGTGCATTCGTGTGTGTGTTTTTTGAGACTCCCCTGACGGTCACCCGATTCGTACTTGTAATTTTTTCTATCTATAGCCAATCAGATGTCTCCTCAATTCTAAGCCAATCACATGAGCGCGCCCCCACGAGGGTAGATTTCTTGCGTTCATGACGTAGCGCTTCATGTACGCATTTTGCGCTGTCCGGAGCTGACAGGTCCATGGAGCCTGCCTGCAGGCGCTAATCTCAGGACACTTCCACTCTCAGTACATTGCCACTTTCCGAGCAGGAAATGCACGCAAATACAAGCCTTTATATTATTAAGGTACAGTGCCACTTTCCGAACCATTAATGAATGCTTGTGTACACAAAAACGGCAGGCAAAACCGTTTTAAATGTGTGTTTCCTGTATGGCGAATACAGCTGCTTTATGTATGTCTGTATGAAGTTGTTGTGAGTGTGGAGGGAGCAGCTACAGGTTAGCTTAGCCTAATCGATCAGTGCACTACGAAGCCAGTGCTAGACAGTGAACTGTCAACGGGGGGGAGCCCCGCCGGTCATTATCGGCCGATATTCACTCTTAATAGTTTGATCGGTGCTCTCTATAAAGGCCGATCAGGAGAGCTGGATCTGATCGATATGGACATATACGCGAGTGAAGTTTTAGCGAGCTGCATGAGAAACTGGCGGGCTGTCAGGAGAGAGGGAGGGAGAGAGGAAAAAAGAGATGATCCTTACTCCCGTGTTATTAGCCATATCCGGTCATAGTCCGGTAATTACCTACTAACGGAAACTCTGCTTCTTCTTCTTCTTCTTATTATTATTATTGAAACATGACCGGTAAGTTTCAAATTTGTCCGGTAAAATAAATTCTGTCCGCGGAAACCCTGCTCCGAGTCCGGACAGCGCAAAATGCGTATATGAAGTGTCATGAACGCAATAAATCTACCCTCGTGGGGACGCGCACATGTGATTGGCTTAGAATGAAGGAGACATCTGATTGGCTATAGATAGAAAAAATTACAAGTACGAATCGGGTGACCGTCAGGGGAGTCTCAAAAAACCCACACACGAATGCACAGCGATCCATGCACAGAAAGCGGGTTTGTGTTTGTAGGTTCAGGGGATTTAAACGGAAAACAAATATGTGAGGATCAAAAATACATATGTAAAACTTTTTTCTGTATTTGGATTTTATTTACATGTATATGAAACGGAACACATTTGTGTGTGCATTGAAAAACACAAGTGTGGATCCGGAAATACAAGTGTGAATCCTTTTGCGGATCATGAAATACAAGTGTGAATCCTTCTGTGTGCATGTGTGTATTATGAGACTGTTCTGAGCCCATAAAGCTGGCCCTCTCTGCGATTCACAGAGGGCCCGCTATAGGAACTGAACGAGAGAGTAATGTCAAATGACAGTACAATTGACCAATCATATCTTCCCTCTAAATGGGTGGGTTTTATTATCGCGGACTTTATGACAAGTTCCGCCCGCTGTGAAACTTTTCTTGTTTCCATAGCAACAACAACTTCCTGTCAACAGCGTGAACTCGCCTTCAAAATAAAAGCATGCCAAATTACACTTAAGACATACAACTGCAACGAAAGTAACAAACACAATGCAATATCATTTTCAATGTCAAAGAACACAAATGGGGTTCACAGGTGTTGTTTTGTGTGGTAGAGGGTCGCTGTCATTGATGCGTTTTGCACCCTGGGCCGTTGTTTTGATATTCCGCTGAAGTATACGCTGTGACGTAATAACTCTTTTTTCGAGGGAAGGGGTGGGGGTCAGAGGGCCTAGGTATAAAGCTCACGGCTCGCCACTGCTGCATTGATTTCACTGTGAAATTCAAAATTACAGTATTATATTGTGAACATTACAGGTAAAGACTGTAAAGTGGTAAAACAGTAATTTATTGTAAAATATTACAGCTAAATATTGTGAAATCATGGTAATATTTTACAGTGAATGTATCAAGTTGGCTTCATGGTATCATCAACACTTTACTCATTATTCCCTCCTTCCTCAGGTGAGCACTTTGTGGATAAACATAGAACCGAGCTGATCAAGAGAGTACACTACGTTGCAGACATTTTGGATAAGCTCCTTGAGGAAAAAGTCATCACACCACCGATTTATGATGAAATCATGGCAATCCGGACCACTCAGATGCAGATGAGCGAACTCTTCAGTGGTCCTCTGAATGCAGCAGGGCTTCGTGGCAAAGAAGTCTTCTACAGAATCCTTGAGGAAGAGGAGAAATATCTCATTGATGAGCTAAAAAGCTTGGATCTTGAGGGTATCGAAATAATTACGGTAATTCCTTACATTTTTTGTACGTGTTCAGTTATTTGTTGATCATTTATGTAATTCTTCCAAAAGTCACGTCTTCACTTATTTGTAAAAATTATTGTCCTCTGCAGAAGGACTCCAGTGGCTGGACTGAACTTGAACCTGAGGTGAACGGTACAGATGAAGATGAGGCATCAACTTACAGGTACAAAATAAATTCCTAAATACTGCATATTATCAAACTGGAAATATAGTAAACACTGAAGCTTCGGTCTTGGGATTTCTTCACAGAGAGAACACAAAGATCTGCTACAAATATTTCCCCAATAGTATTAATGCTACATTTTGTACCAAATACAAACTCTGTATTTTTTTCATTATATTTTAGCCTAAAGTCTGAAGCGGGAAACTTTGAATGTAGTGTCTCTGGCTTGCGCTGGGTCTGTCAGGAAAAGGTCAGCTTTAAGTACCAGTTTTGCTCTTCGGAGGAACCCATGAAGAGGATGGAAATGATGAAATACATGCCTGCAGGTCCCCTCATAGACATCACAGTGATTTCTGGGAAGTTATTTGAAGTGTACCTGCCACACTGGATCTGCATAGGTAAGTGATCATGGAGGAAAATAACAAAATAATCAATGCAATTGTTTTATTCACATTAATTTCTTGTGCTTTATACTATGCAGATGACATCCCTGAAATATTGCAAAAGTTTGCAGTCCTGCACATAGATGACTGTGGAGATGTTGTGGAAAAAGTGTCTGAAGTCACATCGTCCCATGTCAAGCTGTGTGAACCAGTTTTCTCTCAAAGAGCCGTCCTGATCAAAAATGGCATTCCAGTCAAAATACAGTGTAACGTGTTGATTTATTCAAAAGCCTACGCATCCTGCACCGTTCTTCATGTTTACCTGACCCCGCTCGATCCTGCTCTTAAAGAGGTTACTGAATATCTTACTGTCACACATTCAAAAATTAAAGAAATGTTTTCTCGAAGGTATGACTTCTTATCATGACCTTTTCCTCAGTGGCCATTCTGAAATAACAAAATCTAAAAGAAATATTTATTTTTCTAGATACTGACCCTAATACTCTGTTGATAAAACCTTATTGTTTCATGAATGCATTTTAAACACAAATGTTTCTTACTGTAAACTTGTAGCAGGGTTGTGCTTAGATTTTTTTTTTTTCCAGACCATCGACAAGGACAATAAAGAATACAAATTCATCCGAAAGCCACGCCCAAACGATTACCTGACGCTGCACAAAGATTTCAACCTCAAAGCAGACATAGAAACGGACAAGATTTGCCCAGAGGTACAGTTTGCATTGCCAGTCAGCAATCTGATCTGTTCATTGTGTTTTATTATGGTTCATGTAGATGGGCCAGGTTCCTGGTATTGTTAATGCTGACTAGACTAGAATGGATGTGACACTAATTCAAATGGGACAGTTATTCATTTTGTAAATAACACCTGTGTCAACCTTGCAAGAGACGTCAAAATGGCTACAGTTTAATATATCAATATCAAGGGAACTCACAAATAGTCAGAACCTCAAGATCTCCACTAGACTTAAACACCCCACTGAGGTGGATTACATTTGCACCATCAGCTTTTTAATTACCAACCACCAGGCATTGGAATATGTTTCGAGCTGAGCGTAAAATATGCTGGTATTTGTATTTTACAGATCAGCACTTTTGTTGATTTTTATATATTTACCTATCATGGGACTGCAGATAGAAATTAGCTAATAGCTACTGTAAATGTTACCATACGTCATCTCTTCCCTTTGTATAATTAATGTATTGTTATGTATGTTCCTTGTTTAATAAAGATATAATAAAAAGATTTGCCATACAGACAGAAGAATTAGCTATGGTTCAGTAGCCAAAATGTGTTAATCCAGAGGAGCCAATCTGAGAAAATTGATGCTTGTAATTCACCAGTGGCATATCAAATTGTGGATTTAGTAAAAAACTGGCATGCATATACCATCAAACTTAAGTTAAACAATAAGGACTTCTCCATTTGAAATAACCAGCATCATTGTTTCTGTTGGCCATGTGACTAATTCACTTTTTTTTAACAACTGAAATCTTGAGTTTATTCAATATTGACCCTCACATCTAATTTTGTCATCTCTCTGTTATTTCTTTTTTTTTCTTTTCACACAGAAAATAACCCTCACCAATGACAGCCAAGAAAAGCAACGCTCAATATTCTTTGACGTTGGCTTTGAGAATCCAAACAGTAACTTCCATCTTACACTCTCTCAACTTAACAAAGGGAAACGCAAACCACAGTGTGAACCAGTATGGAGCTGTGTGATTCGAAAAGGTCAGTGGGCATTATTACTTACATTAAAATCTGTCTTTTACCTTTAATTAACTAAGGTGTTATGCAAAAGGATTATATTAAATTAAAGAGAGCCCAATCCCATTGTATAACCAAACATATTAGAATAGAATGGTTGAGAAACAACCAGACGTGCAATCACCGCTAAATGCACTTTAATACAGGGGTATCATCTCTTGCACTTTATGTAGCACTTTTATCTTTTCTTGCACTTTATATTTCGTTGCTGCTACATTGTATTACCATGTGATAAATACTTGTGTATGCTGCTCTTGCTCTCTTGCACTTTTTGCATATCATGTATTTGTTTCTGCTACTGTATATTTGTAAAATGTCATTTTCTTAAATGTTTTATGTGAGAGACTGCGGATGGAAATTAGCTCAAAGCTAAAATCTGGCATATTTACGCTTGACACATTTTATTGTTTTAAGTGTTCATTGATATTGTCCCTGCTAAATAAACGATGAAATAAAAATAAATAAATAAAATAAAATATTAAAAATTAACTTTATTTTAAAGGTGGGGTAGGTAATTTTGGAGAAACCAGCTCGAGATCGCTAGAATTTGAAAATACACAGCCGGAAAAAATCTGCCATTTCCTTATAGAGCCCCTCCTAGAACACACGAACGCGCACATGAACAATGAGGGCACGAGATAAGTTTGTGCGCAGATGGAAGGCTGACAGGCAGGTAGGCCATCCAGTTATTTTAGCCAGGCCGGCTAAAATGATTGGTCGTACTTTTTACAGTACTACGGCTTCCACAGATGACATTTTTTTATGGATTTTTTGTCAAAGCACTTAAGATATTCATTGCTATCGGGATGTTAAGAGCATTCCATGGAATATAACAAAAAGTGTATCTCGAGCCGGTTTCTCAAACTTACCTACCCCACCTTTAATGTGTTGATGAGAATACAATACATGAAAAAGAAATATGAAAAATCCATATTTTGTATTTTCTGTATTTCAGTTGAGTTACGAAACTCTGGTGATTCAGATGGTAAGATGCTGCGTATTAAAAATAAGTTTTTCAAGAATGTTTGTTTTTACAGTTATTGAAATTATATTTCCATTACATCTATAAGAATCTTAACATACCAGTTTTTTTTTCTTTGTATTAATGCAACACTGCATATTCCTATTTCTGCAGTGAAAGAGACAGGTGGACCACCCTCCATTACTGGTAAGTTATTTTCTGTTGTCTGACTGTGAAGTGCTACAGAAAAGCTGTTTTTAAAGCAACCTTTGATTCAAGATTCAAAGGTTTATTTTCATAACATATACACAAATATGGTGTAGTTGAGGATGAAAAACTTAGATCGCAGGTTCCTCAACAGTGCAATTACTATATATAAAAATATATTTGAAAAACAACAACAAAAAAAAAAATTCTGCAAGCTCAGGTGTTGAATATTCTTATGGCATCTGGGATGAAACTGTCTCCGAGTCTGGTGGTTTTGTCCTGATGCTGCGGTACCACCTGCCATTCGGGAGCAGACAGAACAGTTTGTTGCTGGGGTGATGGGGGTCTTTGATAATCCCGAGGGCTTTCTTCCTGAGCCGCTGGGAGTAAAGGTCCTCCATGGATGGCAGCTCCGTCCTGGTGATGTGCTGTGCAGTTTTCACCACCCTCTGTAGAGTCTTACGGTTGAGAACGGTGAAACTGCCATACCAGGCCGTGATGCAGCCATTCAGGATACTCTCTATGGTGCACCTGTAGAAGGTCAGGATCCTCTCCTGTCGAAGGTCAGGATGCTCTCTATGGGGCACCTGTAGAAGTTTCAGAGTCTCCTTGAACTTCAGCAGCCAGCGGAGGAAGAAGAGCCGTTGTCGAGCTGTTTTGGTGATAGTCCATGTCAGGTCCTCAGTGATGTGGACCCCAAGGAACCTGAAGCTGCTGACTCTTTCCACAGTAGTCTCGTTGATGGCGATGGGGGCGTGTCCCTCTCTCTGCTGCTTTCTGTAATCCACAATTAGCTCCTTGGTTTTGCCGACGTTAACATGGAGGTTGTTATCCTGGTACCAAGATATCAGGGTTTCGACCTCCTCTCTGTACACCGTCTCGTCGCCGTCGGTCATCAGGCCGATGGCGGTCGTGTCGTCGGTAAACTTCACGATGGCCTTGGAGCTGTGTGTGGCCACGCAGTTGTTTGTGAACAGGAGTAGAGGAGAGGGCTGAGCACACAGCCCTGAGGGGCTCCGGTGTTGAGGATCAGGGTGGAGGATGTGATGTTTCCCATCCGCACTGCCCGGCGTCTGCCCGTCAGGAAGTTCAGGATCCAATCACAGAGGGCGCTCTCTGAGCATTCTCACATATGTGTTCCTGTTCTTCGGGTCCAGGTGTGAGAGGGCAGTGTGGAGGGTGAGGGATATGGCGTCGTCTGTGGACCTGTTTGCTCTGTAGGCAAACTGCAGGGGGTCCAGAGAGTCAGGGAGGGAGGAGGTGATGAATGATTTGACTAACCGCTCAAAGCACTTCATTATGATGGAGGTGAGTGCTACTGGGCGGTAGTCGTTGAGGCTGGTGGTTTTTGTCTTTTTGGGACAGGAACAATGGTGGAGTGTTTGAAACATGCGGGGACTACAGACTGCAGCAGGGACCTGTTGAAGATGTCTGTGACACCTCTGCCAGCTGAACTGCACACACCCTGAGAACACTTTTGAGCAATTCTACTTCAAATTAGCCTGGATTAATCAATATAATATGATTAATGAAAGTAATTTGTCTGCTGTGTCAAAATGGAGAGCAATAAATCTGTACTGGCTCCTGAAATGTACGCAATCCGCTAGAGAGAAGATGTGTCTCTGTTGGAGTTTTTAGAACTACAGAAACACAGGACAGGAAAGAGAACATAAACACAACTAGCTACACTTGGGGTTTTTATTAAATTCCTCAAAACAAAATTAGTGAAAGCTCAACTGCTGTGAAAATTGTTGATAATTCTGTGATAAAGTCCTTGTATTTTGTTTATATGAATGAAAATAGTCTGATACAACGTGTTTGAAGTAAGATGTCAATATATGCACAAGAGAGGAATTACAAAACCCAACAAATTATTATCATACATTTCCTTTAACATGTTTTAATTAGCGTACCATAATCCCCTTGTGTGCAATTTTAATGTTTAGACATGCAAATCAAGCTCCCAGTTTAAAAAGCCAATCACAGCATACAGTATTAGTGTGTCCTACATTAAAATTGTATGTCAAATTGTCATCCGTCATATTTCTTGCTAACCATATCTGTCTATTTTGCAGTGGAAGCTACGGGTGGACCGTCCTCAGAAAATGGATCAAGGGACAGTGAGTTGTTTATCTACATTAGGTTTTCTTGCTATTATAAAATAGAAGACTTGAAAAGGATACAATTATTTTCCACCAGAGCGAAAAGTCTTTAGTCCACAAAAACCTAAAAGCCCTACACAAAAGACATTGGAGCGATAGAGCAGGGTTTGCAGCTTGGAAAAAATAATAGACCAGCAAATATTTTCTACAGAATTTGCAGGTTAACATTTCTCCTCAAACTGCACCCTTCACATTGACAACGACACTGTCTTGACACTGAATTGTGATTGCGTTATCCAAAATGTAATACAAAGTGTAGTCTGACATCATGATTTCGCTATGATATCCATATATGGCCCAGCCCCAATTCATTCACTTGAGATAGGAATTACCTTGGACACAAGCTGGTGTGCTACAGCACATAGCATAGACTTAGGAAGCTGAACAGTATTGAGAGACGTGGAGTAACACATTGTTGCTTTTAATCTTTTAATTTTGTTGAATATAATAACATCAGTCTTATTCTTAGGTATTCTATTAAACTGGCAACCAATGACAGTGCATGTATCATTGTCACATTGAATGACCGTATTTTGCTATGTTGCTGTGTGCATAAAAAAAAAGCATAAAGACTAAACCTGTCCATCATTAAGCAATTGTAATTTTCCCTCAATTTGTTTCAGCTGCTGGACCCTCAGCTGGAGAGACAGCTCAAAACACCATGGTAGACGGTGGGTGCACACTTGATTTTGGTTTGTGATCCCAGTGGATCAGCCACTTCTCTGAATCATTCAGATGTCCATTGGCAAACTTCAGAGGGGCCTTTCATGTGCCTTCTTGAGCAGGGGGACCTTGCAGGCGCTGCAGGATTTTATGCATTATGGTGCAGTGTGTTACCAATAGTTTTCTTGGTGACTGTGGTCCCAGCTGCCTTGAAATCATTAACAAATTCCTCCCGTGTAGTTCTTGGCTGATACCTCACCTTTCTCATGATCATCAATACCCCACGGGGCCATCTTGTGTGGAGCCCCAGACCGAGGGTGATTGATGGTCATTTAATGTTTCTTCCATATCCGTATAATGGCACCAACAGTGGTCTCCTTCTCACCAAGCTACTTTCTGAGTGTCTTGTAGCCAATCCCAGCCTTGAGCAGGTCTACAATCATGTCCCTGAGGTCCTTAGACAGCGCTTTAGTCTTGCCCATGGTGGAGAGGTTGGAATCTGATTTATTGATTCTGTGGACAGTTGTCTTTTATACAGTTAACAAGTTGATATTAGGAGTACTTTTTTAAAGGAAGAGGACTTATTTAACCGGTCTGTGGGAGCCAGAATCCTTGTTTGTTGCAAGGGGATCAAATACTTATTTCCCACAGTTAAATGCAAATCAATTTTTATCTTTTATATAATGTCAATTTCTGGATTTTCTTTTTGATATTCTTACTCTCACTAAATAAACCTACCATTAAAATTATAGACTGTTAATTTTTTTGTAAGTGGGCAAACTTACAAAATCTGCAAGGGATCAAATACTTATTTCCTCCACTGTATTTAAAATAAAGAAGTCACTGTTATAGAAAATAAAATATTAGTTTAGAAATGTATCAAGTTGGCTTCATGGTATCATCAACACTTTACTCATTATTCCCTCCTTCCTCAGGTGAGCACTTTGTGGATAAACATAGAACCGAGCTGATCGACAGTGTGCACTGCGTTGCAAACATTTTGGATAAGCTCCTTGGGAAAAAAGTCATCAAACAAGCGATTTATGATAAAATTAGGAAAATCCCAACCACTCAGGAGCAGATGAGGGAACTCTTCAGTGGTCCCCTGAATGCAGCAGGGCCTCGTGGCAAAGAAGTCTTCTACAGAATCCTTGAGGAAGAGGAGGAATATCTCATTGATGATCTAAAGGGAAAGAAGTGAATGTTGTGGAGAAATCATTTTTTAGACTAAACGTACATTGTGCCTCAAGAAAAAAACAGTCTTAAACGATTACAATGGGGAAATAGTAATGTAAATGTCTCTGTAGGGGTTCTATCAAATATAGCTTTTGCACCTTCATGTTTGATCATAGCTCTTGCCCTTTTTTTACTCTTTGACCAGTCATATTTTTAAAATGTATACGTTTTCCTGTAAGGTTAAAACCAGATTCAGCAAACCATGTAAGTCATTCATGTAATGTAATGATGTAAGAAATGATTTAGCGTTCTCACCTGACATGTAATGTTTTAATCCAGCAAATCCCAAATGGATTGAGTCTGCTTTTAACCTATTTTTTTATAAATTAAAGGATGCTTGATCATGAATGATTATCCTTAGGTTTTGCATGCAGATTTTAATTTTGATTATTGTCTTATGTGCTAAACGATTCTGTTGTTGTTTTTTCCCTCATGAAAATATGTTTACTTTTGGAGGCCAATGTTTTCTATTTTGAAATACATTTTCAATAAACTCTTATAAATATTACACATGTCGAGTGAATAGAGTGTTTTAAAAGTTGAAGCAGACATAATGATGTAATAAAGTTAACAGATTTAGGAACGTCGCTTTCCTCCTAGATTTAAAAAAATGTTTACATATTATTCTTATCATTTATAAGGTTGTTCAGAGGGATACTGGAAGAAGGTAGTATTCTTTTGACGTTATCCACAAACTTTGCTTTATTAACCAACCTCAATTTGTATGAACTAATTGTTTAGCCTTACCTTCTTGTATGTTTGGATGAAGGGAGGCAGGACTTTACTTGGTGATGAAAGTACAGTTCATACATTTAAAGGGGAACTACAGCAATGTTTAGATATCCAGTCTGTTTAGGAGTCTTGTAAAGTAGCTGCCCCATGAGTAAACAAAGTTATACAAAGCCTTTTGTAGCTCTAGGGAGTTGTCTGAGAGAATGCCTGTTGGAGTTCAATACTACACATTTGGAAATGTTATGTGTTTGTGTTATGTTAGATTTTCTCATTTCAGTTGTAAATTCACGTGTGGGATGTAGGTCATGAAATGCTTTTTAAGGATTCATTTTAAAGTGTGTTGATCCCCTCTGAAGCACTCCAGTCACATGGGGCTCTGAACGCGTCCCTCCGTCCTAACCACTGCACACCCAGATGTTATAAAAGCAAAAGTGCAGCTATGTAATGTCTGTGTGACGACTGAGTCTGGCAGAGTCAGTGACATTCTTTAAAATACTGGTAAGAAATTATCTGTTTATTTTGTTGTTTTGAAAAGTGCTGTATATTAAGTTGATATTAAGTATTTGCTGGTTAAATTCAGTCCACAATAGCTCTTCTTTAATATAGGAGTTCACGGCTTCGGCATTAAAGACAACTCACCTGTTTTAAACTTCATGTTGAGTATGATAAATATTGTGAGTCTGTATAATTGTTTTCTATTGTTTTAATTTTGTCAGAGGAGTACTCACAAGATACACAGTAATGGTTCTTCATAGCACTTGTGGGAGTAGTCTAACTAGTACTGATTCCTACAGTATCAATATCTTTAAGAATGTATGGCAGAATAATTTTTCATCCCTCATAATTTAATATCATTTTTATTGTTAGGAAAAAGGGCGATGGTTTGAGGAGTAAAGAGAACCACGTGACTTCAGAGAAAAGGACACACACGTTTAACTTCCTCTTCAGGGGCCTCATTTATAAAGGGATATACGCTCAAAAAATGGCGTACGCCAGTTTCTACGCAATGTTTGCGATTTATAAAATACTAACTTGACGGGAAAATGTGCGGTCCTCCACGCAAACTCTAACCCATGCGTACGCACTAAGCACAGAAACGGGAGAGACGAGAAACTGCGGTTTATCCGAGCGGGCTGGGGCAGCGCCGGCGGCGACTGCGGCACCGGGAGCGGTGCGCCCAGGAAGGCACCCGTAGGAACGGCGAGGTCAGAGGACGCCTCATCAGCAAGCGCCGGTGGGGAAGCGCCCATAGCCGAGTCGCGGGGACCATCAGCCGGCCGCTGAGCAAGCCCTGGGGCGTCGCCCAGCCCGGGCGGATAGGTGGGGGCTGATGTCCCAGGGCAGCGGGCGGCGGCGGTGGCGACGGCGTGGTCGACTGCTCATGGGCGCAGGATGTGGCCGGCGTGTAGGCACGGAAGAACCGCCGGTTGCGCAGTGTCAGACGTCCCGAACCGTCAACCCTGATCCGATAGTGGTCATGGTCCAGCGACTCCACCACGATCCCTGACCTGTCCCATTTGCGGGGGCTCGGGCCTTGCTGGTTCTGGAGGAATACCCTTTCGCCGAGCGCCAATGGGCGGAGCGGTCTTGAGTGAGTCCCCAGAGACTCGGTGGTACGGGACATACGGGTCCGAAGGGCGTCCTCCTTCGCCGCCCATGCCTCGCGCCATAGCGGGCGGATATGCGGGTTCGAGAACTTCTCGAGGCGGTTCACGAAGGAGAGCGAGCCACGAAGGGGGCGGCCGAAGATGATCTGCGCCGGCGAGAGGTTGCAGTCGGGGTCAGGCGTGTTCCGCAACTGCAGCATAGCACGCAGGAAGCGGTCCTGATCAAGGCTGCCCGACGGGCCGGTGTTGGACATCAGGAGGCGCTTAGCAGTCTTAACCGCAACTTCCGCCCTCCCATTCGACTGTGAAAAGCTAACGGAGGACACACGGTGTTTGACGTGCCATAAGCGGAGGAAGTCCTCAGTGTGGCTCGCCTTGAATTCCGGACCACCGTCGCTCGAGAGCTCCTGCGGTACGCCGAAGGTAGCGAAGAACGAGCGGAGGTGTTGGACCAGGCCAGCTGAGCCCGCCAGGGCAGTACCCGCCGTAGAACTCAGGACCTCTACCCAGCCCGAAAGCCGATCCCCGACAACTAGGTAGTGGCGGCCCCCATAGTCGAAGAAGTCAGCAAACACCGCCTCGAATGGCGTGGACGGGGGTGGTGACGGCAGGGGGGGGTGTAGCCGCCTGTGACGGAGCATTGCGGTTGCAGTCTGCACACCCGTCCCTGGTGGCCTGAATGTCCCCGGACATCCCGGGCCAGTAAACTATGGCTCGGCCATGCTGCCCCATCGCTGAGGTCCCCTGGTGAGCGGCATGGAGATGCCGAAGGACTCTCCCACGGAGGGATGGGGGGACCACGACGCGGTCCCGATAGAGCAGGACGCCGTCCTGTGCGTAGACGGACTCACAGACCGATGACAGACTCGCCAGGGCAGGGTCGTTAACGTCATCCTGCTCGATGAGTTGGAGGAGGTGGCCGAGGCATCCGTCAGCCGCTGTCTCCCGTGCGAGGAGGGGCCAAGAGACGGCTCCGATCTCCCGTGCGTCGTCGCGGATGGAGGCCATGAGTGCTGACTCCACAGCGTCAGGCCCGCTCGGCAGCCCCAGTGAGAGGCCGTTCGCTGAGCCCGAGGGGGAAGGATGCCTTGATGTGGCATCAGCGGCATAGTTGCTCTTGCCAGGCAGATGCACAATGTCGAAGCGCCATGGGAGGGTGCGCTGCTTGAGTCTAAACAGACGCGAGTTTGTTATCTCATCCAGCGTACGGTCACCAAAGATCTTCACCAATGGCTTATGGTCGGTGACCACGACGAGGTTGTCGGACCCCTGCGTGAAGTACCGCGTCTGTTCCAGACCCCAGGCCACAGCTAGGGCCTCTCCCTCGACGGCCGCATAGCGCTGCTCCGCAGGGGACAGGAAACGCGAACCCGCGAGGGTGATCCTCCATCCTCCTGGACAGCAGTCCGGTATGCCCGAGGCACAGTGACAATGTTGCTGGAGCAGGAAGTAGCCAATGCCACGCATGGACCAGTCAGGGCGGAGGCAGGTACGCTTCTGCATGTCGTAGATCTCCACGCCCTCGCGGATGGCCTCCATTATGGCTTGCTTGGACGTCTGGAAGGCCTCCTCCAGAACGGGGGACCATAGGAACACACAGCGCGGGCTGAGGAACGGCTTAAATGGGGCCATCGTGTCACGCAGCTGGGCGTAGTTAGCCACCTGGTTGACGAGGCCAAACCAACTCCTGATGTCCGTCGTGGAGCCTGGGGTGGGGAAGTCCCGGATGGCGTCCAAGTATTTCGGGAGCGGTTCGATGGTAGATTCCGACACCCTGAAGCCGGCGAAGTCGACGCACCTCTCCGCGAACTGAAGCTTGTCCGGGTTCAACACGATGCCCGACCGGCCGACACGCGTCAGGAAGTCGATGGTCCTCCACCATTGTTGCTCCAGGTCGGTGTCATAGTGGATGGTGTCATCCACACAACGTTCCTTGCGTTCATAGTCCGAGAGTACGGCGTCAAACCGACGGTTGTAGCCATCCCCTGATGACAGGAAACCCTGTGGTGCCCTGGTGTAGCGCCAACGGCCGAAGGGCGTGATGAAGGTAGTGAGGTGGCGATCCGACTCACGCAGGGGGACGCTGTGGTAGCCGTTCCAGGCATCCGTGACGGTCTTCCAGGTGCCCTTCGGGACGCGGCGTGCAAGGTGGAATGGGGACTCAGTGGCAAAGGTCTCACGTTGGCAGAACTTGTTGAGGGGGGAGAGGTCCATGGTCCTGCGGGGGGAACCGTCGTGCTTCCGAGTGACTACCACGCCACTGGCTCGCCGTATGGTACGCGTTCAATGACCCCGAGGGCTTCGTCCCGCAGGAGGTCATCGTGGACCCTCCGCTGCCAGTGTAGAGGCACTGTAGCCGCGGTGTGGCATGCCTTAGGCGTAGCTGCGGGGTCCACGTGCATCTCGATAGGTGGCCCCTCCATGCATGGTAGTGCCCGATGGGGGCAAGTATTGAATGTCGACGAGGCATATCTCCCGAGCAGCCAACCTTTCATCCGGCTGTTGTTCTCTGGCGTACAAGGGAACGGCAGAGCTGCGGGGCACGCCGGGGGGACCGTGCGCTGAGGACATGAGCACTGGGCGTCCTGGGGGTCACCTGGCCCCACGCAGCCGCCGTTGGTTGACCTCGTCGCATTGACCTCGTCGCATTGACGGATAAGGGCTGGTCTGGCGTGTCAGCCATGGTGTCGTCATGAAGAAACATACTCCTCAATGTCAGTTTCAGTGTTTTAATGACAAAGATGACGACACCCTGAAACAGAGTAATACAGCGAGGTAAGCTGACAAAGTATTACATACATGCATGTCATCATTAACACAACACAAATATATGCTACGACACCACGTATATATACACCAACAATAGTGGGAACAGTCTTACATGTGTGAGTGGATGAACGTCTCGACACGAGGCGGAGTGAATGAACAATGTTTGAACTAAAATGGCCGCTCAGTACTACCGGGTCAGAGCGCGGCATATCCGGTGCGACAGCAGTGAGACGCTGCCCTCTAGTGGCCGGCGATAAACTCTTCAGAAACCTCCTTTCCTTTCATTTAGAGAATTCGAACGGCACTTATCATGGCTGCCACTGAGGGACTTCCGGGTCATTTCACTCCGTTAGGAAGGTTCCTAAGCTAAATGGACTATTCAACCGCAACCCGAGCTGTCCGACTTCAGGCGAGCTTTTTGAGACCTCCCCCGGCTGCAATCGGCTATTCTCGTCTACTTTGGAGGCGAGCCGCAGCTCGTCTCAAACAAGCCTACTGTCTCACTGACAAATCTCTTACGCTTCTGTTTTTTTAGGGTTTCAATTTCCTGCCGCCTAGTTTTACAAAATAGTGTCTGAAACTGTTATGACAGGTTTCATGTGTTAGAAAATTACAAAAAGGCTACTTTTAGTATTGTGGAGTTTGTGCTGTGTGGAAATGACCTTTTCCTGGGCTGTAAAGCTTTTAACCTATAAATACATAGATTCAAAAAGCAGTTTTTAATTGGAGAATTTGTAGGCTACTTGTTTGAGCCATTTTTAAATAACAAAATGGCAAACAATCTGTTGTGTCAGCTTCTCAAATGATTTCCTAAATAGTTTTATATCAATGGAAATTGAGCCTCTTTAGATTTGGACTGAATTAGCTCAAAATTGTTCGTTAAGCTACCACAAACTGATTTTAACCTTTCATGATGGCTCAAAGCTGTGCATGAGAAGTTCTTAATGAGCCTTTAACTTTACTTGTAGCTTATCTTTTTTGTTTCAATGACTTGTCTGTTTCTGATTCACACATGTATTCATAATACTTTTTTTCTTGGGCTGAACATTTGGAGTTGTCATTAACTGAGCCTCACAATATGTAGTGTAGACTAAGCAGGGGCGGATCTAGAAAAAATATTCATGGGGTGGCAGGAGAATTTCAGGGGTGGCATCCCCTGGCAGAAGTATATGCTGATTTAATCGCAGTCATATCAATTCATGTTAACTTGGAAAGCCACAATATTTATATTTTAACTCAATAACATTTGGTGACATTATTGTGGCACATCAGTAAAGCCTTAAGGCCCTGACACACCAGGCCGATATCGGCCGTCTTCGGTTGTCTAGCGACAACGCGTTCCTTGTCGCCCAAAGTCAATTTGGTGTGTCCCGAACCCTCGGCCGTGACACGCCTTATTTGGCCTTTCACGATCGACACATGGCCGATTCAACATGTTGAATCGGCCATGTGTCGGACACAAGCTATCGGGCCAAGAAACCACTCTGATCAGCTGTTCAGCTAGCAAATGAGAAGCTAAACGGAAGTGAGAGACGTAAACAAACGATTTAAGAAGGCACAGGACAGCAGCTAAACCCCAGCAGGTGATACTTAAAGACATCAAACATAGCCCTTAAATGTCCTCTCTTACCTCCCACACATAGCAGGGACATCTCTGATATCGGCGGGAGCGTCCCCGGCTGTCCTCTGCTGAGAGCTCCGTGATTTGTTTGGTCAAGTCCGGTTTTTCATCTCATCAGTTTATTTGTCAGTATAAAGTTGCAGGATTAGTCTCAAGTACCTCAACATTGTCCTTAAGTACAGTGTCTAAGTAAATGAGATACTGTCTACTGCTGTTCATTTACCTATTGTGAGTCGCCTCGGATAAAAGCATCACATGGAAATGTAAATTTAGCAAGAAGTGGCCATTATTACATTGCATACATTACTACATTGCTGACTCAATAAACTACACACCCGCCAGAACACTGCGATCATCAGATGCAGGTCTATTAACTGTGATTTTATAGTATGTCTGCACTTTATGTGCTCATTTCATCATTCATGTATTTTATATTCTAAAACATGTTTTCGATGGACGAGAGTGAAAATGGAACGCACACGCTATTTGCTGTTTGTTTATATCACAGTCTGTTCTTCTTCTCTTTCTTCCGGTTGTTGCCTATTTTGAATGACGAATACACACTACCGCCGCCTGCTGGTAAGGACAGTAATTGCCACTCACGCATGCGCAGTTCGTACGTGCTCGGCTGAAGTCTTTGTGGTGTGTTCCAGTGCGACACATGGCCAAGACGCAGGAGAACACGGCGATGGAACTGTCTGTGTCGGTGTCGGCGAGTTCTCTGGTGACGGCCTGGTGTGTCAGGGCCTTTAAATAGAAACATATAAGGTGGCAGACATCATTTAATGCATTTTAACTGAACAATAACTGAATGAGTTTGTTTCACTCTTAGACCAGCAGGGGTAACAAATCTATGCAGACTGCTGCAATAAGTACATTAATTAACTGTCTCGTCGATGTTTGTCTAAATGAATATGATACTATTAACAATCATATTATTCCTATCAGCTGTCAATCACTGTTATGATTCACATATTCAGTGTTATTATTAAATAAACTATATTTTTTGGAGGAGTTAATGACGTTTTATAATGATGTTCCTGAAGATGCTTGCTCACCCTCCTTCAAATTTGAAAGACAAGTAATTACTATCATATATCAAAAGATTAAAAGGAACAGTTCAGCGCCCCACAACTTCATTGCAAACAGTTACAACCTTGACTTTACATCAGAAAGAACAAACATTAAAGAAGTGACTAACTGCATCAGTTAGGGTTAAAAAACGTGTATTCAGCAAAAACATATACGTCTCACGGTAGAAATACTTTATTCCTTATCGGATCTGCACAAAGAAGATATCAACTAGCAAGCTGAAATTCTACAGATTCTAGATATATAAGTATCATCACTGAGCGATCAAAACTCGCGACAGGGGAAGCTAACCCAGACAACACACAATGTAGCTTTATGGAGCAAAAACGCTAAATAGTCTTACCTTTGCTATTCTTCTGATCAAAAGTTGTGTTCAATGGCATTACAACGCATAAAACGCTGCTGAAGGTTAATCCATAGGTTAATCCATTGGTTAATCCAATGTGTCTGTGTGACTTTCAAATGATTACTGACGTGAGTTCTGTGCTAAGTGTGTTAGCATTCTTTCGCTCAGGGCTAATTTAGACGCTACTTGTGAGACTTCTGTTTTGTTTCGGTAAAAATTGTTCATATCGTCAGTTAGCTGAGTTTCTTCCCGTTAAGTGGGTATGACACATTAATAGGTTGTTAAATGTTAAGAAGCCCTGAGACACAGTTTCGGTACCTGGGGGCTGCCGGGCTTAACCGAGGATTTGAGGTGTCGTCCCATAGACACTGCACAGCATTCGCACTAATAAGTATGTCGAATTCTAGACTGTGTGTCTTCGCCAGTCACACAGAATAATAAAGATGGCTAAGAGTTTAGCACAGAGCACGAGTCAGTTCATTTATAGACCAACAAACAAAACTTGTGTGTGTGTGTGCTCACTTTTGTATTCTCTGTGGCGCTGCAGCAAACAAACAAACAACAAACAACAAACAACAAACAACAAACAACAAACAAACGGAAATAAATGAATACTTTAGTTGAAGTTAAAGTGAACAAAGCGGAAGTGGATCCGCGCAGCCGTGGCAGAGACAGTTTCTTCCCGCGGGCAGTGAGACTGTTAAAAAATTGAACTGTTGAAACAACTTCAAACATTCATCTGCTACTCAGTAGTATGTATCTAATACCTAATATATATATATCATTCCAATAACTTGTATATAGACTCATACTGCACTATTCCACATCATCACTTTATTTTATTTTATAACTATTATTCTTTTTGTATTGCTCTTGCTCTTATTGTTATTATGTTGCATTGTTGGAGAAGCCTGTGACATAAGATTTTCAACTACATAATTACTCTGTAGCTATGTCAGATTGACAATAAAGAACCTTGAACAATCCCTTGAACAGAGAAACTTCAGAAACTGTGTGTTTTGTGATATTTGGCAGAATAAATAGAAAAAGAACGACATTAGGTAAATTGTATGTGCGGTGTTTATTTTATCGTGAAGGTGTGTTTTATTATTATTATTTTATTATTATTATTGTATTATTATAATTGTATTGTTATTATTATTGTTGAATTATTTGATTTATTTACATTATTAATGTCAACACAGGTCAGTTTCTTATTGTATATTAATTAATTGAGAGAGGGTTAAATAAAACTTTATTGACCGATTAAACAAATAGACAAATAGCAAATCACAGAGCTCCGTTTGAGAGCGTCACTTATTGCTAACAATAATAATGAAGCTAATGATGTCACTTCCTGCCCGGTCCGAAGGCGTCAGAGGCCGCCCCCCCCGCCATCTCATCCCCACGCTGCAGAGAGGAGCCCAGGTTAGCAGTGAGACAGGTGGAGAGGAAACATCCTCGTGTGTTGAACCGCCTGCTGGGGAGAGACAGGTGAGAGACAGGTGAGAGACAGATGGGAGACAGGTGAGACAGGTGAGAGACAGGTGTGAGACAGGTAAGAGACAGGTGAGAGACAGGTGAGACAGGTAAGAGGCAGGTGAGAGACAGGTAAGAGACAGGTGAGAGACAGATGGGAGACAGGTGAGACAGGTGAGACAGGTGAGAGACAGGTGTGAGACAGGTAAGAGGCAGGTGAGAGACAGGTGAGACAGGTAAGAGACAGGTGAGAGGCAGGTGAGAGACAGGTGAGACAGGCGAGAGTCAGGTGAGCAGTGAGACAGTACGTACATGGGGGGGATGAAAGCGGTAACCATCACTGTGGAGTTCATCCTGATTCTGCTGAAGAAATACATCATTATAATAATAATAATAATAATAATAATAATAATAATAATTGTATTATTATTATTATTATTATTATATATATAGCTGATTATTATTATTATAATTAAACATTATTATAATTCATGTGCTATTTAAAACTATTATTTTAGTTTGATTATATTATTATTATTATTAATAATGATTAATATATATTCACCTTGACAGTGTGGAGTTTATTTCCTCGGTTATGTTCTGCAGGCACAACGTCTCCGTGCTGTTCCCATCACACCTGTGTCCGGAAAGAAATCTAATTATATATCCTGTTTTTATTATTATTTTTAATTGTGATTATTCTTCCAAACAGCTTTAAACTAATAACAATAATAATAATAATAATAATAATAATAATAATAATAATAATAATAATAATATTATTATATATATATATGTATATATATATATGTGATCAGGGAATAATTTCCATAGATGTTTACCTTTCACCCTCTGACGCAGATGCCCAGCCTTGAGCAGCCGCTATCTCCCATAAGGAGGGGCTGCCCTAGCATTTTGTTGTTGTTACCAGTTTGTGACCGGGCAACTCTCTGTCAGAGATAGTTATTGTTGTGGGACACCTGGAACACATCCTTCTCGGGGTGTAGATGACCCCGAGCCATAAGCGACAACAAATGTGATTCAGTGTCCTCAGCTGTTTTGTCTAACTAATGAAGAATGTTGATTACCCTTAGCGAAACTAGTTAAAACATCATACGAGAGGAAGGTTTCTTCAGAATTGATTGTGGCATCTCAACCGTGTGGTCAAACTGTGGCCCGGGACATGTCTTGTGAATTCTCCGGCCGAAGCTCCAAATAAACCATCAGTGTTTGCCATCAAAGCTCCAGCTCTCCATCGTGTTTCTCTTTGAGTCCTGACTCCCATTGCTTCAGAAGTTTCCCCCACAATATGTATATATATATATATGTATATGTATATATATGTATATGTATAAATAAAACTAATGATAATATATTAATGTGTTCACACAGACCTGGGGGGCGGAAGGGTGGGTTGTCTCCTGAGTTCACATCAGGGAAATATATTTATAATATTTAATGACATATATATATATATATATATATATATGTATAAATGACATTAATATATATATATATAAATGAATCAGAATACCTTTATTAGTCCCACAGAGGGGAAATGTACATTGTTACAGCAGAAAAGAGCCAAAGACAGCTTAATGTTGGCGTGCATAACATTTACAAAATACACATACTGTAACAAATGTTACATAAATATGTAAATGGCACTTACATATAATACAAATGACATCAATAAATAATATATTAATGATAGAGCTCTACAGGATAGAGTTTATTTAACTTTATCTGAGAAGTTAATATTTAAATCTCACCTGAGGAGTGAAGGAGGAAGAGGAGCAGCAGAGACCATCATTACCATCATCACCATCACCATCATCATCATCTTCATCATCATTTTAATTTTCTTCATCATATTGTGGTCTTCCTCAGCAGGAGCCTGTCAGACCGCGTGCAGGGCGCCCCTTATATAGCGTTGGAGTGACGTCATCAGACCTTCACCGGTCAGGCCGTCAAAACAGAGAGTTTAAAATAAATACATATAAATATAAAGAAACACAAATTGGTTATTTAATATTCTAACAAGGTTTATTTTAGTTTATTAATGAGGTTTATTTTAGTTCATTAATGAGGTTTATTTTTGTTTATTAAGGTTTATTTTAGTTTATTAATAAGGTTTATATGAGGTTGTTTATATGTTTAGTGTTGGCTGAGCTGCCTCATGGTTAAATAAATAAGATAAAGACTGAAGGTCCTCTCTATATTTACATGCTCTTCATCACCTCATCACCTCATCACTTCATCTCTTCCTCTCCTCACCTCTGACAACATGAATAATGTTTTATATATAATGTATATAGTATACATTATTTTATATCTACTGTAACTATCGCATAATTGAATGAAAAAGACGGCCCAGACTACTTCCAATTTGAGGCCTTTCATGTAATCTGAATTACATCAAATCATTTGGTGCAACTTCCAATTTGATTAAACCAAGAACACAACATAACTAACATGTCAAAAAGGATACATTTATATAGTTACATCATACCTATCATTTTAAGTTTAATTAATTCCTTCATTACAATCCTAAATATAAATGTATGTAGCTCATTTTCCATTTGTTAGAGTGAATTAGTAAATGTTCTTGTTGACAGCAACAACAACAAAGAAAAAAACAACATCTTGCTGTGAGCAGATAACAGAACGTGCCATTTGAACTGTGAGGCTTATCCAATGAAGCTTTATGCAAGTGCAACATTTAACTTTAATATTAAAACTAGTTATTTTAACACAATTCTTAACAAACAACATTCTTTATCCGTGCATAGAGCTAAGTGCAGTGAGTTCCAAAATATGCAGCATCACTTTTCACAATGCCAAAGGGAAAAACAGTCCTCTTAGAGCGCCATCTACAGTGCACTCTGCATATCAAATACTGTGTTTGCACAGGGAAACTACCACAGGGTAAAAAGGTGTAATTGATAGTCATGACGTTGGATGGACTGGATGTTATTCTGGAGGTGCCATTTATTCAGAAACAAATATCTTTGATACTCTCGGTTCAATTATTGCATTGCATTCTTTAAGTGTATCAATGTAATGCATTATTATAATGTATTGTAGACTAAAATCTATAATTCTGCATTTACTTCTCTGCCCTCTGGCCATTTTGTTTAATCTGTTTATACCAACAATTATTCTATTATGTTTTCCCTTATCCGTATTTAATAATTACATTTTTTTATTGTTTTTATATACTTATGTCATTTTCCATCCTCCATGGAGAGCACCCCATCGTAAGCACATAATTTACTCCCAGAATTTCAGTCTACTCACGAGACAAACTTGCCCACTTCCACCTGGATGATGGCGTTTTTAAACTGGACCTCCAGCAGCAGGGCGTCAGCTGGACCTCCCTCGCTGGTCTTGTTGACGTTTGGGGAGAATATCCGCAGCATCCCCTTGTAGCTGCCCACCACCACCTTGTCTATTAAGGCAGTGGTTCCCAACCTTGTTTGTCTCATGTACCCCTTGAGCTGGTCACCATTCTATAAATACCTCCTCACTCATCTGTTATAATTTGATGAGGAGAAGACCCCTCCCCTCTGAACAGTCACATTTCAGTCAGACAACTCACGTGTTTCTTAATATGTTTATTAGAAGCAGCATATAGTTTGAGTTTGGCGTCTAGGCTCGGGCCTCATCACTCCACAGATTTACAAAGAACATTGAGTGATGATTAGATAACTATCCCCCGAGCCTACACAGGTGGAAGCTGGGGTGGAGCTGGGGTGGTGGGGGGGCAGGCGAGCAGCAGCAACATGAAACACAGCAGCAGGAACATGAACGTAGCAATAGCAAGTGAACACAGCAGTGGCAGCAGCAGCATAGCGAGGCAGAGGCAGGAAGACCTGGCAGCTTAAATAGAGCGGCATGTTTAGGAGAATGTGTTTGGTTGGTTGTAAGAGGGACGAGGTGTTAATGTCTGATTGGTGCTCGAGTTGACCGCCTGAACTAGCTCGCAGAATTCGCCCCATTTATCCGTCATATTTGAAAAGAAACATTGTTGTTTTCTGTATTCATGTAAGACAAAAGTTATTTATTTATTTGGCGATGACTTGCGCTAATTTTAGAACGCACCCTGCGGGCAACCAGGCACCTGCTTACCCCCTGCGTTCCCCTCAAGAACCCCTAGGGGTCCCCGTGCCCCCGGTTGGGAACCACTGTATTAAGGTGTAAACACAAAGCGTGACAGATGTTATATCTGAGATAAGTCAGGGTGGAAGTTATTATTTCTGACAGCAGGCTGTCATTACTTTCCCTTTGTGTGGTGCTAGCACTCTCACTGCTAAGGTAAAACAAGATTTTTCTTTAACAACAAAAAGTTAATGTGACTAATTAGTCTAGTTTACTCAACCTGAAGTAAATTGTATAAAAGAAGGCATTTGGTGGGGGGGGAGTCAGCTCAGCATTAAGTGTCAAGGTTTTCAGGACATCATTTAGTTATAAACATCATGTTTTAAGTAGGTGAATTTTCTAATGTAAAAATGTATAGTGTAAAAGGGTATAAAACATTCGGATAGAAGTATATAATGGTCATTCCCATGCTCTATTTAGTTGGTGCTAAATTTAAAAAATGTTTACCACTTGGGGATTAGAAAGAAATCAGAAATCTTAACAAAATAAATCACATAAAGATTGTACGGGCCTCCTTTCCACATGAACATTGAAGAGCATGTCAGTGTCAGAATGCAAATGGTGCATCAGTAAATAATATAAGCATTAAGCAATATTGAAAACTAATTAACTCAATGCAAACCGTCCCATATGTTCAATCTTTATTCCAGATAAGAAATGACTTGTATATATCGGAGCAGAAAATACTGTCACCTAGCTACCATGTTCTGGCTGTGGCTGGTTAGCTTGTTTTAACTCTAGAGGGAACTGGTTTTGTAATTAAAGTATGGTGTCAAAGTGGTTTGATTTTCAGATGGAGAAATGTGGGGGAAATGTAACACAAAGCAGAGCGGCAAATGAAAGTTAGCACACAGTAGATCTTTTGGATCTTTAATATATATATATATTTGTTATTTTCTTGCCAACATACATCATGATATACATTGTATATATGTGCACAACCATATAAACTACAATGAAAAGACACATTTAACTCTGTTGTTTATCCACAGAAGTGTAGAGTGGTGTGATAAGACATCTCAGGAAAGGTCTGTGTGTTATTGGTGCATCTCTTCCTCTCCACAAACTGACCGTGTCCGGTGCCACTGTTGTCCACGTCTCCCACGTCTCCGACACAGAGGCATCCCTGGTCGAACTCCTCCCCCTCGCCAATCGCTGCCGACCACCAATCACGGGCCTTGAACAGAGACATGCTGCCTCTGATTGGACGGAGAGAGTAAGTGAAAAAAGACAGGAGGGAAATGGTTAGAAGTGACATGCAAAAATCTGTCTGCATCAAACTATAGTGAAAGTACCAAAAGTAAAAGTAGTCATTGTGCAGATTGGTCCATTTCAGAATAATATATATAATATGTTTTATAATGATTGATCATTAAAGTGTTCTCAAAGTTGGTAAAGGTGCAGCTAGTTTGAATGACTTTGTATACTGCAGGGTAGCTTGTGGATTTACTCCAGGTGGAACTAAAGTCTGATTTAACACTTGATTAGATTTCACATCATTCATCTAGATCTTTAAAGTAACTAAAGGTATTAAATACATGTAGTGGAGTAAAATTACACCATTTACCTCTGAATTGAAGTGGAGTAGAAGTACAAAGTAGTATGAAATTAAAATACTCAAGTAAAGTACAAGTACCTCAAAATTGTACTTAAGTACAGTACTTGGGTAAATGTAGTTAGTTACTTTACACAACTGCGAATAGAGCAACTGAATCACAAGAGGATAACTAACAGTCCCATCTTATAGAAGACAGAAAGCAGCCGACAACTACACTATAGCTATTGTACATACATACGACAATAAAGCCTCTGTATCTTTGAAGACCAAGCACCTGTGGGTTCATTGTTCTATAACTAAGAACACTCTTGTTATTGTAAATATGTCCATTATGACCGAGCATACAAACACTTAAAGTAATCACACATGCCTTCAGAAGCTGTATACAGACGGTTACAAATATTATCTTGCAGCTAACGTCAAGCCGGCAGAATTAACTTTAGCTTAGCTAATTAGCTAGCTCTCCAAGTTACCTGGATACTGAGCAGATATAAGAACAGCCTTATATATATAAATATAAATCCCCGCAGCTGGTGACTAAACACACTCAGGTTTGTTCCCGAGGTTCTCTTACCTTCACGTACACAAGCCGGTCCGTAAAAGCCGATGTGTTGTTCCTCCTCACACACAAATCACATTTCTCACCCTCTTGCTTGCAGCCATCGTCCTGTTGTCATGACGCTCAACGGACAAGCAGGAAGTTTGTGCGCAGGACCGGAAATGAGAACCGAAAAGACGGCTGGGAAAATGAGTTTCTGGACTGAATCAGAATACACTACACATAGATATCTATGACACTACATGTACAGTCACTTCCGCATTGTAGGTGGAACTGCTCAGCTGTTTCCGGTACAACAACAACAATGGCAATGTTCTACACCCGGTGTTTACAAGAGCTCCCGAAATTGGAAATTACCGATGTTCATCGAATTTGCCGGACGACTAAATCCCCAGCCAGCAAATTGGACAAAGGGTTCAAATGATATGCTGCATCATATATTCATGATTACGAAGGTAAGAAAAAAGTATAAACGGAATGACTAGTTAACTAGCTAATGCTAACTTAGGCTACCATGTTAATCATTATGTTTTTTTTACTTTTGTTTTGAAGTGAAAAAGAAGACATGATAATGCAGACGAGAAATGAAATGGAGAGACGTGGGCTTCTGCTCTGACTTTCTCAATACAAATGTTGACAAATCTATTTTCCCTCAGTTGCATTTTCACAAGTAGAATTAAAGTTTCACAAATCTAAAACTGTGTTATAAAGAATATTTAGCCTCTCTGGGATAAACTAGTCCAGATGTAATGAGTGTAGGTATAGTGGTTTTGGATCAGGACCTGGTCTAATGTGGTTAAGATGTGAAAAAAGCACTGAAATCTCCCTTTTTTGTATTTTCACAAATATAATTAAGGTTTCACAAATCTAAAGCTGTGTTATAAAGAATTTGAAGACTCTCTGGGATAATCTAGTCCAAATAAATCGGCTATGCAGCAACTTAAGAGGTACAAACACGGAGTATTGTTCCCTCAGCGCTGTAAATTAAATGTCCCTTAACTTTCCCCTTAACTGCTGAATTGGAAGCCAACTTCAGCGTCGTTAGGAATACTCTGTTACAGTAAAAGTCCTGCATACAAAATGTTACTAAAAGTAGAAAGTATAAGCATCAAAATATAGTTAAAGTAGCGACAGTAAAAGTAGTCATTGTGCAGATTGGTCCATTTCAGAATAATATATATGATATGTTTTATAATGATTAATCATTAAAGTGTTCTCAAAGCTGGTAAAGGTGCAGCTAGTTTGAATGACTTTGTATACTGCAGGGTAGCTTGTGGATTTACTCCAGGTGGAACTAAAGTCTGATTAAACACTTGATTATATTTCACATCATTCATCCACATCTGTGAAGTAACTAAAGGTATTAAATACATGTAGTGGAGTAGAAGTACATAATTTACCTCTGAACTGTAGAGGAGTAGAAGTACAAAGTAGTGAAACATTGAAATACAGTACAGGTCCCTCAAAATTGCTTTTAATGAAAAGTGCAGTACTTTGAGTAAATGTATTTAGTTACTTTACACCACTGCTGATGTCCAGTGGTCTCCAGTCAGTGCAATACATGTAGCTTGTGCTGTTGTGTGTTTGGTTCAAACTTGGTGATATGATTAATTTGTGTAATCTTTTTTTTAATACATTAAGGTTTTCATAGTAATTGCAAGTGTTAAAAACTTTTGTTGACAGCCCAAATTTAAACCAAAATGTATAATTAAGAAGGTTTTGATTGAAAGGTTTGCATTAGTAAGTGTATGTTTATGTGTTTTTCTCCAGGGTAAGTTCAACTCTCAGAATGGAGAACATGAGAGATTTGAATGATGAGGAAGAGGACAAATCTTCAGTCTCCAGCTGTCTGTCTCTGAAGAGTGACCGGTCCAAAGAAGAACCTCCACTCTTCAGTGATGAACCTGGGCCCTCAGACACAAAGTAAGAGTCTGTTTCTACTGTAATCTGACCTGAAGAGGATTCATTTTATATGCCAGGGGATCATCTGCACTGTTCTTTAATATTTACATGAGCGCAGTAGATAACAGTACAGAAACACAGTACAATACTGTAAAGAAATACAGAAAAGTACAGTAAAAAGCACGGTACATTTTAGTAAAGAAATGCAGTAAAGTAGAGTCAAAACATGAGCCTATATACTTCAGTAATGAACCTCGACCCTCAGACACAAATTAAGGTCGCATTCACACCTATAGTCCGCTTCTCTGGTGCGCACCAGACGACAGTTTGTTACATTGTTTAATTTTTCAGAAGGTTTGGTTTGCGTTCACACGGGCAAAACTCAAACGGACTATAAACTTTAAACACAAGTCATGTGCACGGAAATGCTGTTCAACAATTGGTCAGACATTAAGGGGGGGTAAAACGCACATCCTACCGTAGCCTCCACCATGGAGCATCGGCAGGTTATTTTCATGCTGCTGTTAATCTGGAGAGCATATCATCAACAGACTCTAGCGGCCCGCATATGATTATACAATCAGACAACTTGCGATAAAAAACATTACAACACATATAATGAGAGACGTTCTGCAGTCAGGAGGAGGTTTCACCGACGACAGGTGGTTCTGACTTTTATGTATAGTTGACGGAGCATTTTTACTTTACACGACACTGTTCAACACTTCCTTCTGCTTCACTCTTTCGCTAAAGATTTTGTAGAGACATCTGCGTTCTTGTGACTCGTAAATACTATGCTTCCTGTGTTTCGGTGCGGACTGCGTTCACACCAGCGATGATCTGCTCCAGAGTTCACTAGCAAGCGGTCCGAGACCACCTCTTTTAAGCGGACCAGAGTCCGGTTGTTTAGTTCACGTCAGAAGTCTCGGACTGTGTTCACACCGACCCAAACAAATCGCACCAAGCGGTTAAACACACCAGGGTTCGATTCAACCGGACTATACAAGGCTGGTGTGAACGCGACCTAAGAGTCTGTTTCTGTGATCAGACCTGAAGAGGATTTAGTTCGAATGCTATCTGACAATTTAAAATATAATTGTATATTATATGAGTGAAGTAGATTACAGTACAGGAACACAGTATAATACAGTAAACATCTACAGCAGAGTTCAGCAATGAAACACTGTAAAGTGCAATAAAGTAACGCAGTAGGTAACTGTCTTTATTAAACCTTGAATGAATATCTTAAGAAGTAATATTGTTTTCTAAACTTACATCATGTGTTCTTTATTCAGACTGGTTTGCTGCAGTTTGTCTGAGATCAGCTGTGCTGCTCTGGCCTCAGCTCTGAAGTCCAACCCCTCCCATCTGAGAGATCTGGACCTGAGTCTCAACGATCTGCAGGATTCAGTAGTGAAGCTGCTGAGTGGTCTTCTGGAGAGTCCAGACTGCAGACTGGAGACTCTCAGGTCAGTTCTCCATCTTTAACTTCTGTGCTGAGATTAATATGTGAGAGTTGTGTTGACTCTGAGCTGCAGACATCAGGCTGATATTATCCTGATCAACACTTAAAGGGGACCTATCAACATCTTGCAAGAAACAGCGTCTGAGGGCTTCTTAACATTTAACAAACTATGAATGTGTCATACCCACTTAACGGGAAGAAACTCAGCTATCAGACAATATTAACCATTTTTAGCTAAACAAAACACAAGGGTAATAACAAAGGCTCTGAATTAGCCCTGAGCGAAAAAATGCTAACGCACTTAGCACAGAACTCACGGTAGAAATACTTTATTACTTATCGGATCTGCACAAACAAGATATCAGATTCCACAGATTCTAGAAGTATTAGTATCATCACTGAGCGACCAAAACTCGTGGCAGGGGAAGCAAACCCAGATAACACACAACGTAGCTTTACGGGACCAAAACGGAAAATAACATTACCTTTGCAAACTGGGTGCGCATCACTCTCACTCCTCATGGTAACGTGTAGATGTATTTAGGAACTTCCCCCTAGATTCTATTGGCTCTAACGGTTAAAAAGAGATGTCAATTATCAAAATCGACCAATGGGTTCCAGAGAAACGGCAAATCCACCCAAGTACACCCAAATGACCCCAGAGGTGTTTTTTGTTTGTTGCTAAACCTCTCTAAAAAGGTCAAATGTCACTTGTTTTGCCTCAATTTGTTCTGGGAATGTCATTTTCGAGCCTGAGACCTTAAAAACAGGCTTGGGGCTTAACTGGTTAAACCTTTTATAACAGGAACATTGTTTTCTAAACTTACATCATGTGTTCTTTATTCAGACTGAGGGACTGCAGTTTGTCAGAGATCAGCTGTGCTGCTCTGGCCTCAGCTCTGAAGTCCAACCCCTCCTATCTGAGAGATCTGGACCTGAGAGAGAACGATCTGAAGGACTCAGGAGTGGAGCTGCTGAGAGATTTTCTGGAGAGTCCAGACTGCAGACTGGAGACTCTCAGGTCAGTTCTCCATCTTTTACTTCTGTGCTGAGATTAATATGTGAAAGTTGTGTTGACTCTGAGCTGCAGACATCAGGCTGATATTATCCTGATCCTCACTGAGTATCTTAATGCTAAAGTCTATTTTCTTCTTCTGTGCTTTATATGAGTTATTTGACTGTTGCAGAGCAATGTTGATCTTTAAATTGAAATATCCTATGTTGCATAATTCACTCTGAACCTCTTAAACACCTGACATGCATCTTATATTCTCCATAATGATTTTAACAAATTATATTAAAACATAAAATACCATAATTTTGTATTTGTCTGGCTGCACATCATGAGTTAGTGTAGATGGAGCAGAATTTCAGATGTGAAGTCAGCACTTTTTCATTGAAGGAGAAGCACATTGTCTTTAATATTAATAAGAGGCAAGTTTATTTATACAGCACCTTTAAACACAAGGCAATTCAAAGTGCTTTACAATAATGAAAGACATTAAGAGCATTAAGAACTAGTGCAGCGGAAACAAGTTATAAAATGGCATTTCAAAACAGTCATTAAAAAGCAAATGTAATAAAATAAACGTAAAAAATTCATGAATAAAAGTTACAGTGCAGTTTAACCTGTTGAACCCCATCCCCCCGCCCCCGGGCAGAAAAAACGCATCATCTGCAGGAAACAGCGTCTGAGGGCATCTTAATATTTAATAAACTGAATGTTTTATATCCATGTAACGGGAAGAAACTCAGCTAACTGATCTTTGTTTTTGCAAAAAAAAACACAAAGCTAACGCTTGTCGCCTCGCGTCTCTGCG